GTGTGTGTGTGTGTGTGTGTGGTGCTGTGCAGCGTGTATACATTAATATGAGTTAAAGAAAAATCGGTAAAATGCCGTTATTATATAATATCGATCATACTACGGTGAAGTGAACTTGGATGCAATGGATACTGATAGATATGGCATATAAAGAACACTATTTTTAGAACAATTTAATGAAATTCAAAGATGAAACTTAAGATGTGCATGTGAAGATTGAAAGGCTTTAAGAAAATAGTGATGTAAACGTACTTGGCTGATGTATTGCTTAGATAATGTTAGCTAAAGAATACGGTTTGCCCCCGGCAGACATTGTTTTGGCACTAGTTGCAGTTGATGTTTGGTCAACGGGCTGTATATTCGGCGAAATGATTCGTGGTAGTGTATTGTTTCCGGGCAGTGATCATATTGATCAATGGACCAAAATTATTGAACAGCTTGGTACTCCTTCACCGATGTTTATGCGTCGCTTGCAGTCAACTGTCCGAAATTATGTGGAAAATCGTCCCCATTTCCCTGGTTTTCCATTCGATAAGCTGTTCCCGGATGAATTATTTCCAGCTAGCAGCAGTTCTGACTCACGACTTACTGGTATGCTTATTATTTTATTCTGTATCATATATTTTAGTTGATATATGGTCGATTGGTTGCATTTTTGGTGAACTCATTCGTGGTCGAGTTCTTTTCCCTGGTACGGATCATATTGATCAGTGGTCAAAAATTATTGAGCAACTGGGAACACCTGGACGAGATTTTATGCAGAAGTTGCAAGCAACTGTAAGGAGCTATGTGGAGAACCGTCCTAGGCATCCCGGTCTTCCATTTGAGATTCTCTTTAGTGATAATATATTCCCAAAGCCGGCAACCAACAACGCACTTTGTCGTAAGTTTCAAAACTCCTGCTGAGGAACAGAAGAAAAAGGTTTCTAGGAACTCTCGCAGTTTGTAATGACCGAAGCAGTAAATGTTTGCGGTCGGAAAGAGAGCGAGGAAGAAGTCCCGAAAGTTCTTTTTTTTTATGTTGCAAATTTATCAGGTATGCTTAGAAGTAAATATGAAGAGATAACCATTGTGCATCTCTCATTTCTTACAGTGCTTATCAGCTAACTGCGACATCTTTCGCTGGTGCTTAAAAAAAACTCGAGCATACGAGAAATTAAAACTTACTAAATATGAAAAGTTTAACACTTTGAGTCATATCGTTTTCTATTAGAATGAACACCTGGTAATCTAAAAATTTACCGTTCAGTTCATTCATACTTATCATTCCTGTTTAAATGTCGCAATACTTGAATAAGTGGACATCTTTGTTTTCTTCTTTTAGCTGCGCAAGCACGTGATTTGTTATCTAAAATGCTGGTGATCGATCCTGAAAAACGCATATCAGTGGATGAGGCTCTAAAACATCCCTATGTTTATGTATGGTTCGACGAAGCTGAAGTGTATGCTCCACCACCGGAACAATACAATCACAGTATTGACTCGAGAGACCATACAGTTGAACAGTGGAAAGGTGCTTTCGTACTTGTTCAATTTTTGCGACTCAACTCTTGATTAAAATTAAAGAGAATGCATAACGTTTTCAACTTTATATGCACGTCTGTGAAATAGTCTTTCTTATTATTTATTTGTATGTATCTTTCCAACATACTTTTTATAATATCTTATATAGAGATATTTTTTTTAGAACTAATATTTCAAGAAATCATGCATTACGAGCAAACACATGACGAATATGGAATGAAGAAATCGTTGAATTGTACATCAGCTACGGCACCATCATCTTCATCATTTCAAAACATTGAGCATGGTGATTGTTCAACAGCCGGAAGTACTCTGGTTACAAATGGCTTGTGACATCTATAGTCTTCTATTTTTTTTTTTTGTTCTAGTCACTTTATCACCCCTTACCTTAATTAGGAGATATTAATGCTATAGTTGTTAGGTAGCTTTATAATGGAAAATGTTTGTGTAGGAATCCTAACAGGTAAGATTCACAAACATTAGAAGGAAATATGGCGAGCATTGGAAACGAGTTTTTTTTTTTGTTCAAAACATTTATTGTAAAGTTTATTTGTCAATTTTATGCTAGCTTTATTGGCTTATGCAAAAAATAAATAATACTTATTAGAATTCCATTCCGCTCTTGCATACTATTGACTGCTGTTTTATACTGAGATGAATGAGATAACAGTTTGCTGAAGATTGTTTAAATGCTGATATTGCGATAAATATTTATCATACAAATATGTTCAAACATTTACGACAAGCTGCAAAAATAGTTTTAATTTAAAAGGAATCCTTTTTGTGGAATTACTTTAAAAATTTAGAATTTATTTACTGAAACTGCAAATTTGTTCAGTTAGACGAAATTATAAGATCCACCTTTTAAAAACGTTATTATTAGATGTTTGAATTGCAAATGAAATTTCCAAATTGCCCTATAACATGCTGCATAAGAAAAAAAAGTGGCCTCAAGCAGAATTCTAGTATTATTGTCTCTAATACAGCATTCATGAAATGTTTGCCGGACTCTTAGCCATCAATAATAAAGCTTTATCAATAATGAAGCCTTCCAGATTCAACTTTACTTCTTAGCTATGATCATGATCTTGTAGTCGGACAGAGTGTGAAATATATTTACTTTGTATTTATTATAGGTTAAACTGCCGACACATTTATTTTTGTGAATTACTTCGTCGGAATGTTTTTAATAAAACATTTCTATCAAAATATACAAAAATATTTTGAATTTTGTGCTTGTATTGCTGTGTAGTTTACTTTCAAGAATGTTAGTTTAGGATTTCCAAGGCTTATAAGATTGCAAGGTATGCAATACCTTACAATCTTTTGTTTTATATGAAAAAATCATATGTTCATTATTTTCAATCTCTAATTCAGATGTGAATTTAAGCAAAACACAATGGTTGATTAGGATAGTGTTTGTGTTAATTACATTAATTAACCATTCCATGAGAATGAATGGTGTCGAACTGAGATTATAGAAAAATAGTTATTGTGGCTAAAAAGGGAATGAGTTTGTAAAGAAATCGATCAAGAGATTATTTAAAATTGCAGAATTGACGGCAATTCGAAGCAAAATAAGTGAAAATAGTTCGCCGTCATATTCATTCTTTGCATGCTACTTTTTGTTGCCTGGATTGATGGAATTTGATGGAGCCCAGCAGATTAGTTCAAATATTTGAATTGGAACACTCTCGGTCAGTCTGAAATCATTCAATGTTTTTTAAATTCTCAAGTTACAATGTTATGTTGTTTAAGCCATGTCTTGTTTAGATATAGGATAAAAATTTGTTCCGCGGTTTCTCTGTTTCTTTGCCCATATGAAACAAAACTTTGAAGAATTAAAAGTTTCAGCAATCAGTTGTGCTTAAATAAAAATTTAATCGGTCAAAGACATCGGATTTGGCTGAAAATATAAATCGTCATTTCTTGTTTGATGTAAAAAAAGAAATGACAGTTAAAAAAAAATTATCACTTAGAGATTAGCAGGAATTAGAATTATGAGGGAAAGTTGTATTTCTTTTGTCTTCTCTGAAGTCTTCGTAGTCATTTTTTTCTTACTAATTTTTGATTGCCTTTGCTTCTTCACGTTTTTAGTCTGATTTTCTCTTAATTCACAATCTATAAATTCATAGCCTTAACTAAAGCTGTTAATTGCTGTAGTTGTGAAAGTTTAAAATCTTCTAAAGGTCAGATATCAAAGGATATTGGTGAAGACATGGACAATCATATGCATGTTTTGTGGAAATTTTTATAAATAAAACCTGAAAAAGAAAAAATTGCAAGATAACACGCGAGTTTCCTAATTGTTGAACGATGGACTCATTAATAACCAGTTTAAATAATGATTATGAAGAAGCTTGATGATAAATATCTTGTGTATATCACAAAACCGCTATATAATTTTATCTATAGACGGCATATAAATTCTAAATTAAATTCGATCATATTTGGAAGATTCGTAATGTTTACAGGATATATTTTACAGGATAACAAGTTACAGGATATATTTTTAAAATAGAGCAGAAGAACAGACAGTATAAATAATGCATTTAAAAAATTTATATCAAATTAGTTGTACTTCATTATACAGTAATAAATGAACGGATGTTATTAAAATTGTTCGCATATTTGAATATTACTAGCTGTGTATTAAAAAAATATTCTGCTATGAAATTGACCAAAAAGTTATTCACTTGCTGATCTCACTTTCATTTAGTATGCGACATTAGCAAATTTTATTGTGCAAAAATTGTTTATCTTAACATTATAATGCAAACGTCAAATATTAGAAAATAATTTTTTCCTAAAAGATGATGACTTTCATATTTCAAATAAGAGAAATCAATAAATGATTGCATTACATTGGTGCTACGGATCGATTTTTTGCAGCAATTTTACTGATACTGTCCATAACCGATGCTTCGAAAGTATCTCGATAAAGTAATGATACGGTATGCTGATAAATTTTTCTTGTTAGATGATTCAAGAATTTGGCTTTAATTAGACTCAGTGATGCTGTGGCATCTGCAGAAACTGTTGTATCAGCACTACCTGGTGGAGGTCCATTAAGCAGTGGTCGTTTTTGAGCATCGAGTATATCTTTCTGAATTCCTTTTTCTTTTGAAGATTTGATAAAGAATAAATTTAATTCTTAGAAGTAATTATTTATTTTATTGGAAACAAAAATAAATTTTCGAAATTGTTACTAAAATCCCTGTATTTGAAAGTTAACGAAAAAAGGAACATTTGAATAATTTTGCATACCTTATTGAATAACACAATAAAATGAGACTTTTTCAGCGTAAAATTATTGGAGAGTTGCGTGAATATGGTAACACATTCATCCTCTACACTCTAAAATTCCGATTTCTTTGAAAACATTAATTTGTAGCATTTATGATCATGAAATAAATAAATTTCCAGTGATAAGCTAAATTGCATATCTGAAAGAAAAAAACTGAACTAAAACATTACTGATAGGCGCTCTTTCCGAAGCTTGCAAAATGCAGTTAAATCAACAATGTAAATAAGAACGTTTATGATACTGTAGAATTTGTTCCACTTTCGTCGAGAATATTCGCTACCACCGATGTCCAAAATACTATAAAATTTTCGCTCGAAAATACTTTTAGTCGAAATTTTATATTGCTAATGTGAAATATGGATCATCGATACAACTATCTTCTGATAGGAAACATCACAATTTGGAGCATTAGAGTTTCGCTTAAAATTTAAAGAAACAGAATCGAATATGTTCACTATATCAGGAACTTTTCCTCTTTTATACTCATCCCATAATAAGTATTACATTTATCAATCGTTATTAAAATGATAAAGAATCTATTCAGATCAAAAATTAACATCGCATCGGATCCATATAGCAATAGACGAGTTCGGTAATGACAAGTGAGAAATCCAGATTATTTTGCTGGAGCTCAAAATTTGAATTAAAATTAAGTGTATCTACCTGATTGATGCAAATGAAGTATGATAATGTACTTGATCGATTCCAATTGTTGGTGCATAGGAATTTAAGATATCTATCTCAGTTGGAATATAATTACTGGCCGTGATTCTTTCAATATTATCGAAGAAACTACAAAAGTTAAAATTACTTTTATAATTTCAAAAAGTAAAAAAAAAACTATCTTAAGACGACTGATAGTAATTTCAAAAGCAATCACATAAAATTTTATAGATGCTGGAATTCACAGTATCTGGAAGCTGGAAATATAATCATCTTTCGCAGACGATGGTTAAATAATAAGATATTACTTTTTAAATTTATGTTTCCATAATTCTCTCATCAAAAATTGTAACATTATAAGATCGCAATTATTTTCAAAGCCACCTACTACTGAATGTTTTGAATAAACGATAATTTATGGCTAGTTCGAATCAATTTCTGTATTGTATCATCCTCTGGAATATCTTTCATTGCACGTAAGCAACTGCTGCTCAGCTTGTCCAGTTGTTTACTTGCCAAAATAATATCAAAATTTTTCTGAAAACGGTTATAATTTTATCGAAATAAGACCAATATTAGTTAAAGCAAATATAAATAGATATAAAAATAAGTCCGTTTTACAGCTTTAATCAATTTTTTTTAAATTGACATTAAAAGATTGTAGGAAGAAAAACCCTTTGTTTAGAAATATCCAAATTTAATTCTTCGCAAGCTTGGAAGATATCATTGTATATCTGAACTAGATTTTGTAATAAAATACTGTAATAGAAACGTCTTTCAAGCGGTTTACAATTTCCGCTTAACCTGAAAAAGTAGCAATTTTCTGGATGCAAATATGATGTTTATTAAAAGAATCAATATTTGACGCAATTATTATTGTCAACTTATCATTTATTCAATACCATTAGAGAACATTTTAATGATCAAATAATTTCAGTTAAAATTTAAGATCAAATCCTTTCATAAAACGGATCTAACAGAAAGAAATATATAGATTGAGGTAGAATAAAAAATGCTAGCATGGAATTTCGGTTCATAAAAATTTGGGAACAATTTAATTTAAAGCAATGTTTTATTGCATCTTTTGGAATTCTTGAGATTAAAGATGTAATATACCATATGTTTTTATTTATTCTTCTTATAAATAACTAATTTTTGATGGCATTATATGGGAAATATGAACGCCATTTAAAGTTGTTTTTTGAAATCATCTATTAAAAATAAATGCTATTTTCAATGCACTCATTAAATTTGAATAAGGCTTGATTGCTTTATTTTAATGACTTTTTAAATTGAAAGTATGTCTTGAGATTGTTTTCTACGATTAGTTATTTTTCACCAGAAAATCATAAACAAATAATAAATATTATCCAACCTTAATTGCCGAAAAAGCGTTGTTTTTCCTACTGCTGTTGTACCTGCAAAAAATGTCTTTTAAATGAAGTTGTTGAAAACTCGCACAATTAAAAAAAGAAAAAAGGAAGAAGAAGGAAATTAAGGTGAAAAATTATTAAATAACAAATAGTTCCGTAAATTTCCTTCTGAAAAATTTTAAGCCACAAAAATTCACAGCTATTTCGAACAGAGAAATTTCGTCATGAAATAAGTATTCTTACATTATAAACTCAATTCTTCAAAATGGGATATTGATTTATCATTTTGTTTATGTTGCTTATATTCTATTTCATTTTTGAGCCATATAATGTTTTTTTATTTTTGTTATTACTTTCATTATATTTTTTCATTTAAAAAGATATAACTTGATTATTTTTATTTTTTGTTATTCTTCAGAAATTTAATTTTTCAATTTTTGATTTTCTAATTTGCTAACATCGCTTAATTTTATGCATGATGTCATTTTTACAAAAAAAAACGCACCTTGATTACTATTTTCAGAGCTGCATGTTTCAATCATACTAATCAATCCTAGCAGCTTTACTTTTACACTTTCTTTTCTCTTATATCTTATTATTGTTTGCAAGCCTATATTAATAATTTTCATTTTAATAAAGAGGAACTCATGCAAATGAAATGGACAATTATTTCAATGTTCTTTTCATTCTAATGTTTTAAAATACAAATGAATGGAAAGCACTAATAAAATATATTTAAAGTGTGAAAGTGATAAAAACATAATGTTAGATGAAAATGGAAGAAATAAGGAGGTAGAAAATTAAAAACAGATAATACATTTTAAAATTTTTGTTTTAGAAATTATGGAAAAGTATTGTTAATAATGAGGTAAAAGAAAAAAAGAATGGGCGGGAATGGTATGATATGGGAATACGAAAGTATTATAATGATAATCAAATTGATAAAATCATGAGTAAACTGTCAAACGTTTTCGATGTCCCAGATTCTGTAGCGTGAGTAGGATGAAAATAATACAGCAAAACAACAGAATCTCATATCATCCCGAACTGTTTTTGACAAACAAAATGTTTTGTATTCTAATCAAACTTTTTTTTTTCACTACCAACTTCTAATTTTGACTGATTCCAAACTTTAAAAGAAAATTAATAAACAAAGATAAGGATTGTCATCTAAAAGAATTCCTAAAAATATAGCCTAGTCGCTTAAAGTGTTATTTTCAAGAAGCCAAGATTTGCCAAAAAAATAGTTATTTAATTTGTTTAATTAGTAATATATCAACAAACAATTCGCAATTCTTAACTGTAAGAAATTTTACATCTAACTTTTCATTATCTTATTAATGTTTCCTGAATATTTTAATATGTAAGAAATAGATAGAATTTTAACTTATTGAAAAGCAAAGAGTGAAGTTTGTCGAGCTTTTTCACTCGATCAGGCGCTATAAAAAATTGAACTTGATAATGCGTCATTCCTTTTTTCCCATCCAATAAGTGAGCATACATATTTTAATCCTATACTCTTTTAATGTTTTTTACATTAAATAATATTTGACAGTTATGAAATAAACATTTATGAATTGTTCAAATAAATCGATGTGTCGCTTTTTTTTCTGCTTGGTATATCGGTTGCTCATAAGCTCATATATGCTATGATTATAACAACATTTTTGGTTAATAGTTTTTGAGAGGCAAATAAAAGAAAATGTTTCGAACTGGTATGGAAACCTAGTATTTTTTGAAGGACTTTTTTAAAATATAGGAAGCTCTACCTAAAATTAAAATATTGATCTTGGCAATTTTGTTTGACGAGCCGTTAGATTGAACTGGTGGAGCAGAACGTTGTAGCAACGATGGACGAGAACCCATTTGACGTAGAAATTTTTAAATAATTCGGATTTCTACTACTGACTTGAGCAGATAGAGTAGACAGCTGCTTGATGAAAATAAACTTGCTCGTTACTAGGAGTATACACTATCACCCTTTTAATAAATACTAACTCAGCTAATTTGTAGCACAATTTGCAGCCTATAAGCGCACATGTATAAAGTATATAATGGAGAAACATAATGTGATATCTACGTGGACACCTTCCGATCTTACACTGACACACCCAACATAGACAAATAGAAATGTAGAATTTGTTCCTTACCAAGCAGTAAGTCATTTTTAAAAATCGATATCATGCTGCCTAGTGATTGATGCATTTGCGTAAATTACAACACCGTTTTAATTCTCTTTCACTGATAACTTATGACTGGAGTAATCAGAGCACTGCATGTCAATCTTTTTCTGTAGAGAAGTACTATTGAATATGATCGGTCATCGGTCATCATCGATGTCATATCCCAACCGCATTAATTTTTACTGCTTAATATATCGTACTGAAAATAGGCAATCCGATTTATTTAAATCGCCTATTTTCATAGTAGAAAAAAAATGATATGACAGCTGCAATTTTTCAATTGCACAAACAGTTATGAATCCAAATTTAATATGTACTGTTATAAAGGATAATTATTGCTTGGCTTGTACTTTTATAAAAGTATCGTGAATTGAGTACTCCTTCCTTAACAAAAAAAAAATTTAATGAGCATTACTAGCGAAAGCCTAAATACAAGATGCAAACAACAAAGATGGTAATGGATATATAAATGCATAAAAGTCAAAATAATTTAAGTACCTGAGTTGCCGTTCGTAAAGAACCACAACAAGTATTATGTGAATGCTATTATGATCATTTTGAAAAGAGTTCGACAAATTTATTTCAAATTCATATTCAACAAAAAATTCAAATAGTAAGAATGACAAATCAAAATTTAATCAGAACTATCTTCTGATGAGAAATCAACATCCCGTTTTCTAACAGCTTCCTCGTTCATCGTTGGATCAGCTTCTAATGATACAGAGGAATCATCGAGATCCGATGTAGATGTTAATCTTGGACTCTCCAAATCGTAGAGATCGATAAAAATTTGTGGTAAATGAATCATGTCTAAGTGTAAGCGATACCAATCAAGTGCCACTTGGTGTCGAAGAGCTAAACAATTACATGTATTTCTTTTTTTGGTCTCAGACCTTCTTCATCTCGTGAAAAGTGAGGAATTCGATAAAATAAGAGCAAAAGACCGGGATAAAACTTCCCATAAGGCCTTTCTTCTATAAAAAAAATTATCCATGACCCTTAAAAATCGCAAATTAATGCAAAGTAAATAAAGTATTCAAGAAAGTGAAAAACAAAACAAAATAGACCAATTGATCGGAGTAGTTCGCGTTTCACAAGCAGCGAGTGGAAGAGCTCACTTTCCGCCGGTCGTTCTGTTGACAATTGTAATTTGAGTGCGTACACGATCCTTTCACGTAAAATAAGTACTTTGTGAGGTTTTTCCAATTTTGGAATATTATCTAAAATAATTGCTCCCTTTCAAATTGTGAACTATTGCTTTCGCTATATTAACTTTATCTTTGAAGATACTTGAAACAAAACATTAAAAAGTTCATTTCGAAAATTTCATCCTTTTATGTTTTCCTAAAGTTACAGACTTTCAACTTCGGCAAAACTTGAGAGAATGCATGAATGCTGACAGTGATCATGTACCGAAATAAAGCACAATAAGCAAGCTTTAAAATGTTTCAGAAGCTTTAAATATTCACAATATTTCAGAAATTCAATAGACTACCAAAATTTATCAGTTGAGACCATGCATTCTAAAAGCGTCTGGGATTGTTCTTTTCTTGTCCTTTTACTCGAACCTTTGTAAAAATTTAAAAAAATAGCAGCAAAAGTTGAGATTTCAAAGATGTGAAAGATGAAAAAGCAGAGAACAAACCTTGTGTGAATAGAAGGACAGCACAGTACAATCCAAGCAGGCAATCACTAAGCTTATAACTTCTAAAGCGGTCAGCAAAATCAAACATTTGTTTAACAAGTAACAATCCATAGATCATATTGAGCTGTTCTTGGGAAAAAGTTACTCCATGAGAAAATGTCAATGTTCCTAATTTCGAATTCATGGTACGGCTGATCCAAACGAGCCATACTTCGAAGAAAGCAGTTTTAACAGCTAAGATTTGATCCTTGTGAGAGATGTTAAGGAATCCTACAATTTAGTAATGACAAACAAATATGAAAACTGCTCCAAGTAACATTTTTTCCACAGCAGTATTTTATAAATGCTAGCAGGAAAGCATGCAATAACACACATTCACTTAAATTCTAGACTTTAAAAAGACATCGATGAATGAAAATCCATTAAAAAATGAATTCTGTATAAAAAAAATATGAAATAATAACGTGAAAGTAAACCTGGTACACGCTTAGCGAATTCAATGAAACGCCCTAAATCTTCAAACAAGGCCTCGTTTATGGAATGCCACAACTGGTATCGAGTAGCAGAGGGTGATTTATTATTTGGAGACTGAAATCTTTAAAGAGTTTTCTGGAATATTGACGGAGCTAGAAAGAAAGCAAATATTATATATAAGGTGACAAAAAATGTGTTTACTTTCAGAATGGTTGCTAGCATAAGTTTTCTAATAAAAAAGTAAAAACATACACAATGTATCATTCGAGGCTGCAGATTTTTTAAAGTACTAGTCATGTAATTGCAGCAAGAGAAATGAGCCTCAGTCACATGGTCTATAAAATTTTGCAAACGTGCATTTGTAATATCCGAAGTATCATAAGTGAATTTCATTATTTCTTCCCATGACGGTACGCTGTCCACTTCATCTCCCTTACGTCGTGGTGTTCGTCCATAGCGCACTGCTAAAAAGATTCAATTTAAACTAATCATATGTTCTAGTTCCCGATTAAAACTCCGACAAATCTGTTATTGATGATCGAACTCGAATTCGTCAATATAATAATGAACATAGCTATAATCTATAACATTGACATTTGAGGAAGTAAACCATCCACACTTATTCTTTCCATTTTTCACTTGAAAAGATGGTACGACTGAAAGTAGAAAGGGAAGAAAAGTAACGTACAATCACGAGACATTCCAACAGCAAGACATTTTCTAAATCGGCAAAACTGGCATCGATTTCTATTTAAGCGATGTATCAGACATTTTCCATCTCGCAAACATCGATATTCCATTTGCTTTTGAATACTACGTCGGAAGAATCCCTAAATGAATCAATCCTATACAAAGTACAACTGCATTGCTTCGTATTTTATTAAGAACAAAAAGAGTCATTTTTTAAAGACTTACTGTGTGTAGCCGTTATTCAGAGTCTCAAAATTTTATTTACAAGACAGCAATTAAATAGCGTTCCGGCGAACGGGACGCCGGAACGGTGTTAATATTTTTTTCTTTTTTATTTGTATTTGACTTATGATAGTGCGGAATGAGTTTTGTAGCGTCTATAAAAAACGACGCGGTAGTACTATATTATTTCAAGTTAGACATTTTACAGAAAACACATAAATATTTGAAGATATCATAACTGCGTGATACATGATTATCATAAGGGAAAATAAGGAAGGAGATTTTAATGAAAGGAAATGGCGGGATCTTATCTTAAATTATGAATAACAGAGATGAAAATGAAGACATAAATGCCTTTCAAAAGAAATTTGGTAATTGTAAAGCTTATTAGAAAATTTTATTCTTTTTTAGAAAATTTCATAGTATATATCCAAAGAACAGCTGACACAATGAAGTCACCTGTGTCTAGTCGCTAGTCAAACAACGGTACTTTTCTCAGTACCTTTTTACCCATCCTGATCTTCAATCAGAATAACGTAAACTTGTCGATCTCACATCAACATTCTCTTACAAATCTATAATCAGAACAATGGATGCAATTGATACTTTTTCATACTACCGCGACTAAATCTTCTGAAGAATTCATGAATGGGATATACTTTTATGATGATTATCAGAAAGTTCGCCATTTTTTTGGGTTTTAAATCACTTGAAAAAGAAATGATCGCATTTATTCTTTCAAGGCTGAAGAAAAATAAAACTGAAAAGAGTTTTACCTTGCATCCTTCACAAGCTGTAACTCCATAATGAAAACCGCTCGATTTGTCGCCACACACCTTACATAATGCCGGCTTGTCACCTGTTGAATTATCTGGATAAAGTTCTAAAATTAGGTTTCTGTAAGTTGTCGATTTCTTTTTCCCTAAAGCTGTGAGTAACATATTTGCATAAAAATTAACGGAAAAATGCAAACTAAAGTCATACTAACTCGTGCAGTCAATCATCAATTGTGGACTGAAGGAAATACTTTAATGAGAGCTCGTAAATAGTATGTAAGTTTTGTTCACCAAAACAATGCAAATGCTATCAGCGGCAACCTCACAATGAGGTACGCTGCACTTGATCGTCGTATTATTCCAATTATTATGCAGACATGCATTCCTCAAAATTAAAATATTTGTTGGAATTGTTTTACTTCGTGTGCAAATTTGGAAATTTTCTCTTATTCAAAATTTCTCATTTATCTTGAATGCCAGATGGAGCCGGGAATAAATGCAGTGTACTGCATAAATTAAAATTTGTTATTTCTGAGAAATAATATATAGGGATCAAAAAATTAAAACTTTGTTCCCTTTATTCAAATATCAGAAATATTGACAAATGAAAAAAAGAAGTGAGTTGTGCCTCAATGCAGAACACAAATAAATTTGATAAGAAAAAAAAAAACGAAAATTCTGGACGGAGACGCCGAAATTTTCTTCAAATTCGTTTTATACTTTTTTAATGATATGTTTGAAATTAGTCAAATAATACTAACAGCAAAAAATTTCTACAATACAAATCTAATTGAGATTTATATGAAAAAGGGAAAGGAATGAAATCGGTTTTTATAATAAATGCGAGTTGGTAGTATGGGATATATAATGAATTTTCTAGAACAGCTTTGAAGGGCATATTGTCCTTTCTAGTAGCATATGGATTCTATTAAGCATTTCTTTTATACACTTCATTATATCTTTCAACATTCTTCAAAATTAGGGAAAATAAATGGAAACAACGCCAAGTTTAGACAATTTTGTTTAGTGTTAACTAATCACAGAGAGACATTTCAAACAGAGTTACAAAATGAAAACTAAACTATCGTTAATTAATCACATCCGTTCAAAGAAGCATTATAGAATGCATAATCGTATAAACTTCGCTCGAAATATCTGTAAATATGTACTACAAGGTGCATTTCCCTGTTGCTTGTGATAAGTACGTCACATATCCCGTGTCGGAATTTTTTCTTACATGCAGTGCAAAAAAAAAAAAATGACAAATAACAGTAAGAAAAAGAGTGCATCCACTCCTATATGAACCAGAAAAATTAAAAAAATTTTTCGAAAAATCATAAAATGCTCTAACCATCTACAGCATTCGGAGGCAAATGTGATTGCGTATTATTGGCTGATTCGTTGTCATAATAAGGCGTATCACAATAACGCAAATCAGCAAGGCGTGTTTGTTGTGGATACGATGGTACTCCATTATAAGTTCCGGATTGGACGACGTAACCATCCGTTGAATTTATTGTTTCATTTTGCGACATTACCGCACATGTAGTATTTGACTGTCGAAAATTTGTATTTGCCACATAGTTAGATTGAGATAAAATTCCGGATGATCTATTCCAATTGTTCTGCGCGATATTCATTGGACGTTGCGGTGGTGCATTGTATGGCACAGATCCATTAGTTGATACGGGAATTACTGCTGGTGTTGATGACTTCTTTGATGATAAAAAAACTGATTCCTTTGATGCATCGTTCGGGGGGATGAGTCTTTTCGGAGCTGACGTCACATAGCTCATCGTTCTAATCTTAACAGATCAACTAATGATTCAATCTTTTATTAGTTATCGTTGTTTAACAAGAGACTGATAATATTGTCTGTTATATTTGAGTATAAAATAGATGATTAAAATGTCATACTACTCGTAGAATAAGCAGAATTGGCCTTAATTTCGCTCTATTGATAGTAGTTAATGGGAAAGAAGAAAATTATCACAGCTTCTATGAATATGGAAAAAGTGGTTAAAAGAAGTGGTCACATTTCGAATTAAAACTCAAACCCTTAAATACTTTCATTCATTGTTTAATATTCTCTTTTCCCGCTAAATCTCTCGAAAGTATCAAATTGCTAATTTATTGATTAATTTACAGAATACTGTTATAAGTTCCTTTTCATTATCTTAGAATATAGGAAAAAAAAGAATGGGTGAAGAAAATCCTTACCAGATGATGATAAATGGCCAGTCTTCAAATATGTGAACCTTGACTGGAATGAAAAGCTCCTCCTCGATGTGTCCAGTGGTAAGCTGGACTTCATCTATTGCATCTGCATCGGTCAAGGTACCATAGTTTTAGCGCTCGTCACTCGCACAGTTCACGTGGTCACTACTCCTCTTTCTACCTCACATTTGCTCGCTGTCCTTCCCATGGTCATTCTTTCATATCATTAGTGACCAGGAGTGGTTATTTTACTCGACGTGTACTGCAGTGATCAGGACATAATATAATAAAGAGAAAGAAAGAAAAAATGAGAGAATTTATGTTGCAGAGAGGGAAGGGTTGAAAGGGTGAGACTGGACAATTTAGTGAATGAAAAAAATGATATGAGTATAGGTCAGAGGTCATCAGCTAACGAGACATACAGATATTTGTGGTACACATATGCTAATACTGCTGCCTGCAATTACATTCTTCGATAGATTTGAATGGATGATGAAATATAAAAAATTGGAGGGAAGTGTAAAGGTTAAGAGAATATTTCCGCGCGAGGGTCACCTACAACCCCCAACAAAACCTCCGAAAAAAATGAATGTTTAATGCATTCATATTTCTTAAGATATCAACAATTGATAAAGTGCTGGAAATACACATGCCAGAAAAGATCATTTATTATTCGTGAATAATTATGAATATTATGATAATATTTGAAAATGATCAGATATAAATAACTATTTTTATCATTAACTTTAAAAATTATTCACGAATTGATGATAATACTGATGATTCTTTTAGCATTTGCAATAGTCATAATACAAATTCATTTTTTCAGAAAAAAATCTGTAGAAAAGTTCGAATGATATTTTTACAATTGAAAAATTATAAATTGTCCTTTTTCCCTTACTTAAAATTTCCTTGATATGTTGCTATTAATGATTAAATGTAGAAAAGAATTTCATTCTCATGACAATTTTCTAAATAGTATTTTTAAAAGCAAACGATTTGAATACGTTACATTTTTTTATCCAAATTAAGAACAATATTGGTACACATTCATATTTAATTCAACTTGCCACCTATAGCTAAATTCGAAAAGCAAGCCGTACTCAAGCTATAATATATCTTCATTCATGATATTTGAACATCCAAGTTTTATTGCATTATCCATTAGTTTCCCCATGCACTTTACCGATGAACTTAATGCAATTGATGTTTTACCAGTGCCTATTTAACATTTTCATATTATAAAACTATATGATCATTTATGTGAAATAATGACAAAAACATATTCGTTATCGGACAATTGTTCGGTGCACATCACTTGTGAATAATTCAATATACTCCAATCAATATATTTCTATAGAATTTTTTGAATCTTCCAAAGGACTAATATTCACAGCTCATTATCTTATTGAAATGATCATTTTATAGAATGCTTTAAACATTGGAAATAGTTTAAGAGTAACAGCTCTTTGACTTTCGAGAATTCTGAAGAGATAATAATGATTAGAATTAATAAATCGCTTCTTGGATGTGAATAAAAAAAAAACAAAAAGTGCTTAAATTCTATGGTATCACGAAAGCCAAGCTAAATCACATATTAGTAAATAATTATTCAGCATAAGAGATGTATGTATTAGACTTTTTGTTTCTAACACTTCAATTCAGCAACCAAATTGTTGAAGAGAAGATATCATACCAACGGTTTCAAACAGATCGCAAAATTCGTATACCAAACGATCC